AAGAGGAGGCGGCGGCAGCAGCCACCATAAGAGGAACCTTTGTGTCCTCCCCCTCGGGGGGAGGCTGTGGTGTTGGTAACACCCTTGAAGGCGAGGGAGGGGACTTGTCTGAGGACCAGGTGTAAGCAGTGCAGGTTGCACTGGATGGTTTCGCTCTTCCATCTTCACGGCCATGGTGGGAGTGGGGACCACAGTGGCTGAAGAGGAGGCGGCGGCAGCAGCCACCATAAGAGGAACCTTTGTGTCCTCCCCCTCGGGGGGAGGCTGTGGTGTTGGTAACACCCTTGAAGGCGAGGGAGGGGACTTGTCTGAGGACCAGGTGTAAGCAGTGCAGGTTGCACTGGATGGTTTCGCTCTTCCATCTTCACGGCCATGGTGGGAGTGGGGACCACAGTGGCTGAGGGAGAATTCTGACACTGATACCATCAAAGCAGGCTTAAGCACAAGGCCCTGGGCATGGCGGTAGGCCCGTGGGGTCCCCAAATGGCCAGCTCATTGCTCTTTGCCACTGAAGAAGAGGAGAACATCTCCAGACTCCAAGAGGTGCCAACCCTGACAGTACCGGGGAATGGTAATGGGGGGAGACCAAGTTCCACAGGAGCATGGTCAGTTTGCCAGCTGCTGTCTAGGCAGCGCCGCAGCAATTGGTGCTTGTCACTTCCCTGACATGAAGCGGCAGAACCCTATGCCCCCCTGAATACAAGCACAGCAGCAGCATCGGTCAGGCCAATAGGGCAAATCCTGCGCATGCCCAAGGCTTGCTGTTTGGGGGAAATAACCCCTCGCACTCCCGAAATGAAGCCCAGGGATGTGAGCAAGGCAGCTGAAGGCTCACACCTAGACTGTCAATACCCACAGGACCATACTGCTTTGCCAGAGAGCCCCACAGTTCTGCAAAGCCATGGGTTCAGCGAGGGTGCCCACGCTCACCTTGCACTTAACAGGATCATGCCAATTCTCACCGCAGTTAAAGCTGTAGGTGTAAAGGAGAACAGATTTACACAAGTTGCGCTATCACACTGTGCTTGGGAGTCTATCAGTGCCACTACAATTCCTTCTACAGTGCTTATGTCTTTTGGTTACTCCATCGGATGGGCCTGGCACCAGACCTTGCTCAAGGCAATATACTGTGAGTGTGTTTCAGTTTCCCTGTAGTCCCATGCCCCCTGCTGGGTGCATGACACTTGAGATTGTTCCGGGAGGGGCCTAGCTCTCGCAGGGGACCTGAAACGGATTAGTTTTCCATGGGGAAGTAAAAGGCTGCCTTGTGAAACAAGCACCTGGGCTCTTAATAAAAAGCCTAACGCTAAACAAAATGTCACCTACGCATCGTGCTTGAAAATGGCTCGAGACGTATAAACATGGATCCTTTACTTTATAGGGAGTTGCCACGTTTAACCATTTTCAGACTCCCTACCTCTCCCAAAGTGTTTCTGCTACTGAACATCTGTTTGAAGGAGATTAACTGCCTAACAGTTTGCAGACTTCCATACAATTCTTGTTGCAAAGCTCCTTCCCAATACATCTCAAGAGCATTTTAAAACTTACGCTCCTTACCTTTCGGTAAAGTGAAAATCAACTGTAGTTAGGGTGAAAGCCCTTCAAAAGTACTTTATGCACGATGTAAATAGCCACCCTTTGCTACAGCGCCTCCTGTAGAAGGCGCTCTCCCACGTGGCAACCTGATTAATTCTGCTGTAACCCTCGGCCTGTGAACATGAATACCCTCCCCCTTACATGGGATCTTGAGGTCGCATGAGGGTGACTGGTTTTTCAAAGGCCATTGAGTGACTATGGGACTGACTGATTCCCAGTCCTCTGTTCTACCCCTAAAATGACCATACATTAACATATTAATCCTGCCATTTCTCAAATGAAATTCCAGGCATTTATCAATGCATTTCCCAGGGTTAGTTTTTAATTTCATACACGTCCACCACCAAACGCTCTCAGAACGATTCAGATAATGAGGAAACTGACTTGAGCAGCTCCAGTTTGCTGAACATGACTCCTGTTTCTTCATTAAATGAATCAATTGAGGGAGAGGATCCAAGGTATTTGGAATTGCTCCAGAAGTTTCTCTGAAAGTTTTCACCCTGTCAGCTATTAGACATTTTCACTTGGAAGACATTTTCATTTTCCAATTAGGAAGATGGGCAAGAACATTTTCAACTGAAGCAAAAGAAAGATGCACCACAAAACTAATTCTCACTTTTACCTCTTCAAAACCCCCCCCCCCCCCCCCCCCCCCAACCGCGCTCCTCAACAGAGCCATTTACACAGTACATAGCTTTTAGCTTCTGAATGGCCCTGGAAGATCTCAAATCACAAGAGCGTTTTTACCAAAACTGACGTCCACATTTGCAGCGAACAGGTTTAGCATCAGGATATTGAACTTTAACAACATGGTGGCAGTCTGGGGCAGGACACCATTTTAACAGTCGATTACACTACAAAATAAAATGAGACAACATGACACACAGAACTACCAGGAAAAGAGACTCTCCCCAACAACCTCGAGTTTCTTTTCAGCCCTTCCCCGCAGCCCCACATTGTCCCTGCGTCCTTTAAGCTTAAGTGTTTCCAGGTATGTCCACACTGCAAATAAAACCTGCAGCTGGCCCAAACCAGGTAACTTAGGCTCAAACCTCCCCTTGAAAAGACACATGTTCTCAATCCCTGTAATAATATACCTCACTGCTCGGTCTGCATTTGTACTGTAGCCACCTATGGACTTCTACGTATTACAAAGCACTGGAGATTGTAACAGGACATGCCCAATGTTACATTAGTGCAATGTCAAAAAGGCCGATTTAAACAAGAGTCAAGACGTGAAAGTTTGTTTGACTGCATCCTTAATTTTCCTAAGCTATTTCTGATTAACAGAACAGGCTGTTTACAGTGTATCTGAAAATACACAACACAGGTGCAGTGAGGTAGTTAATGAACTGAAGACTTCTCAACTTGTGTCTTTAAGTCTTAGTTTCTAAAAGTTGGTTTATTCACCCCTACTTAGAACACATGAATATTTTATTCAAAGCTGTTATACAGCTTCATGTCTTAGACTGTCACCTGGGGTCTCTCTACACTTTAATGGGTGGTGTATCCTGGTTCTGAGGCTGTAAAACATTTACCCAAATACAGTGACTGCCACCTTGGAAAACAAGGGGCAATTAAATCCTTTTCAGGATGAATGTAACACCTACTGCATTTTCCTCATCTACTGTGGCAGTACATTTCTAAATTCTAGGTACTATTCCATGGTACCCCTCCTCCCCCACACAGCACATGCCTTTCTGGGTCATGTATCTTTCTATAACTCTGGGTTTAATATTTTCCCCATAATTGTACATAAGCTAAATGGTCTATAAACACTTGCTGCCAGAGTCCTGTCTTGTTACAACGGATTAGATCATCTCTTGACCAGAAAACTATAGCCACTGATCTTGGGCAACTTGGAACATAATGGCCATAACAGAGTCAATGACAAATGCCTGCCAATTTCAAAAAAGCAGAACCATAAGAATAGGAAAAATTCTGACCCGCAAGTTCTCATATGCATATCTCCTGTCACAATTTAAAAATCTACACTGCCCCCCAGCACCTGGTCTGATTGAAATCAAGTGTTAACAAGGGGGGCCCCCCCATGTAACAGCAACTACTGAACCATATAATTCAATCAAAAACTTGTCCAATACACCACTACACATGGAAATAATCAAAGATAGTTAAAAAGTCTTCCTGTGTCTGTGCAGAAGAATAAAAACATTAGAATAATCATTTCATTAAAAATTGCAATTAAACTCACCTCTACAAAACTATTAGTTATTAAATGCTGGTACTTTAATTTAACCTTTGAATCTGTGATCAGACGCCTATGGAAAGGAGAGAAATGCAAAAAACATTAATTGTAGAAGAAAACACATTTC